CTCTTCCGCTTAGATCAGATCTTTTCCTTCACGTCTGTTGCCAGGAGGTCTGAGTAATAAGCTGCATTGACTGTTCTGGCATCTGTCAGAAAGTCTACATGGATAACCCCCTGCCAGTCCCAGAAGAACGTTGCCATCACTTTTCCTGCTGAACGGCTCCTCTGCGCTCTCTTGGGTTTGGGAGAACTGGTATGCCGCCACTTGCGTGATGATTGCTGGGACTCGGAAATGAAGTAGTGCACCCACGTTTCATCGGTGGTCACTATAGACTTCAAAAATGCATCACCTTCGTCTTCAAACTGCTGTAGGAGACGACTGGCAACTTGCATGTGCACCATTTTGTTCGCGTCCGTCAAAAGTGTGTGGTACCCACCGTGCATTCACCTTGCGATAGTGCAGGTGGTATTTCATGATGTCTTCTACACTACCAACACTGATGGACAGCATTGCTCCAAGTTCCTTGATAGTGATGCGCCTATTCTCACGAATAAGTGCGTCTGCACGATCAATGTTTGGCTTGGTGATGGATGTTCGCGGCCGACGATCATGCGGTTCATTCTCCACGCGCTCTCTGCCCTCTCTGAAGCACTTACACCACTCAAACACACGGATCCGTGAGAGACACTCTTCCCCATACTGTTGTTGGAGTCTGTGGTGAATTTCAGTGGATGGGACGTTTTCTCCAACGAGGAATTTGATCACAATGCGTTGTTCCATGCTCCGTGGTACCTTCTGTTCTCTCATCACTCTAGCAACTTCCAGGAGGACTGAACAGGTTCTAACCCTAACAGGAGGGAGGGTGGAGGTTGTGGTTTCACTCTCTCAAGGTCGCACAGCTGCTGCGCAGTGCGGCTTGTTTACAAAAAAAATCAGTCCCTGTCATATTTGAACTACCTAGTATATGTTGCTGTCTCATCACCAAAATGCAGGGCAAAATGATGACATGATGATAGGAAACAGATGTTTTGAAAGTGTGGCACAGTTCAGATATTTGGGATTGACAACAAATCAAAATCTGATTGAGGAGGAAATTAAGAGGAGATTGAACTTGGTCAATGCTTGCTACCATTCGGTCCAGAACCTTTTGTCTTCTCGTCTACTGTCCAGAAACATAAAAATCAGAATATACAAAACTATAATTTTGCATGTGGTTCTGTATGGGTGTGGAACTTGGTCTCTGATATTAAGGGAGGAACATAGATTGAGGGTTTTCGAGAACATGGTGTTGAGGGGAATATTTGGGCCGAAGAGGAATGAAATGACAGGAGGTTGGAGAAAACTGCACAACTTGTACCCTTCTCCAAGTATAATTAGAATGATCAAGTCAAGGAGTATGAGGTGGGCAGGGCATGAAGCACGAATGGGGGAGAAGAGGAATGCATATAGGATATTGGTGGGAAAGCGAGAAGGAAAGAGACCACTGGAAAGACCAAGACATAAGTGAGTGGACAATATTAGGATGGATCTTAGAGAGGACGGGATGGTATGGATTGGATTGATCTGGCTCAGGATAGGGACCATTGGAGGGCTCTTGTGAACATGGTAATGAACGTCTGGGTTCCATAAAATGCTGGGAAATTCTTGAGTAGCTGCAGATTTGGCTTTTCCTCAAGAAGGGCTCAGCTCCATAGAGAAGTAAGTATTTGTAGGTCTACAGATTATCCTTTCCAGAAAGGGGCATTATTTTCCACCTATCCAAACCAAAAAATAATTCAAATGTAAGGGTTCATCTGCTGGACATACGCAATTTCCTAGGTGTATCCTTCATATTTGATATGTTTTGACTTACTCTCCTTGGATGTGCATATTTCTGAGCCAGTGAATTTATAATGAAGGTGATTTGTTTGAGTGTATGATATTTGTTATGCAGACATTTCAGTATGAATCCACTGGAATTTGTTACTGGCGCAATTAATGAAATATTGGTATATGGTGAGTGACTTCCCTGGAATTCTTTGTTAGATCGTAACAAGATTCAAAAGGGGTATGCTCCATAATGTAGCACACAGACTTCCCAGTGACATTCTTAGTGGTTAATTAAGCTCACTTGAGGTCTATGGATAAAATTTGTATAACAGTTTATAATATATATGAAGTTCATTTATGACCCTAAGTGAAGTGGTATTCCTCAGCCCTTGAGGCAAATGCTGGGATAGTGCTGCAAATTATGCCCTGACTGCTTCCTTCAGTATCCTCTCCAATTCATTATTTAGTAATCAGACCATCATTCTATACTAGATTTAACGTTGTGTTCCCACTCCTTGCTGTTTTTATGCAACGTTTTCGATATATTAATGTTTGTATATTATATAACACTACATGTTTCAGCCTCACTGGCAATCATCAGGTGTATAAGATGTTGGGTTGAAACACCCAGAACAGCTACACGCAGAACAAAAGGATAAATCAACAAACCAACAAAAACATAACATCAAAAATGGACAGACATACGTAAATATGTATCTTGTAAATAAAACACCAATATAACCCATTACATATTACAGATACACCAGACATGTGCATAACAACGGCATGATAACCAAATAATAACCTGGAATATTCTGAAGTATTTACATTAAAAATGGAAAACAGAACATAATAATAGAGCAGCAGGTTCTTTCATCTCAACACCTTATACACCTGGTGATGTCCAATCAGGCCGAAACATGCAGTGTGATAAAATAAAGAGAAGGAAGCTGTATGAACATTAATATATTGATGAAGTTGCAGAAAGACAACAAGGAAGGGGAACACAAGTTTGAATACACAGTGCCATAGGAAGCTGCAATATAATATGATGCTAAATCATCTGGACTGTTAACAGCTTAATTAAATAAACCATAAATAAGTAAATTACATGACTCATTTGATGAAGAAAGGTCTGGCCGCAGTTCACACCCACACAGATTCTGCTCATGTAGGTACAAGCAGAATGCTGTGAGGGTGTATGGGGAAGAGAGATTATTATTTATTATTATTATTTATTTCATCCATGGCTGTAGAGAATTACAATTGGACATGTCAAACATCAACAACATCACATAAAAATTACATAATTAAAAAAAAATAACGTAACATTCACACAGTGATTCATGACTATAATACAGCAATACATTTTTAACTTAATTTAAGAATAATAAATACT